CGCCGGCTCCGGCGGTGCTGTCGGCAGGCCGCGGGGGTGGCAGGCGCGGGCGCCTCCGGGAGGCTCGGAGAAGCGACCGGCAGGGCTGGCAGCGCCCCGCGAGGCTCAGCTCCGTTGCTGCGCTGTGCGCTGTCTGCGGCCCCGGGCGGGCGCGCGGTGCGGGGGAGCGGCTAGCTGAGCGGCTCAGACGTCAGGGGTGTCTCCGCTCCAAATAGGGAGCGAGGGCGGGGGCAGCAGAGGGGAGGGACGCAAAACCGAAAGAGCGGGCGGGCGCGCTCAGCGAAGCTCCCTCCGGGTGCGCAGGAGGGGGCGCCGTGGCCGCCCGGGGCTGGGCCCAGCGAGTCCTCCCAGCGCCCGTCCTGCGCCCCGGCGGCCAGGTTCCTGGCCCTTCTCCCTTCCCTCCCGCGTGTCCCCGGTCAGGTTTCAGCGGAGCCCGACGGTGCAACGGCGCTGCGGGGGACTCCCTTGCCAGAATCCTAAAAGCCGAGCAGCGAACCGGGTTCCCTGATCCTTCTAAAGGCCCTTCCGCCCGCTTTATCTGGGCTTCCACTTCTCTCCGCCTGACTTTTCCACTAAGACTGACCGTCAAGTCGTGCCAGGTCTCGGGGTGACAAAGATGGAGGTATCCCTTTTTGGGGAACCGGACACTGCAATTTTGCTCGGAGAGTGTGGCGCACCAGTCCACGGAAGCAAAGTACCCCGAGTCCGCCTTCACTCCACAGTCTCGCGGTGCGCCCATCCTCTCAGTCCCCGGGCTCTTTAGACCCTTGTTACTCGACCTCCACCGCCCAGCCGCCCCTTGACTGCAGCCATGCAGCTAAAGCATCCGAAGAAGGGCTGCGAGGGCCCCAGGAAGGACTGTTTGGAACGAAAGCGCCAGAAGATAAAGTAATTTCCCCAGTTCCTAAGAATCCTCACCTCTATAGAGTTTCCAGTAGGGTGGGTTGTGGTTGTGCTCTTTCCGTTCGGTTTGCTTATGAAGTGAGAAGATAGCTTTGCTGTTGGAAAGCAGTAACCAACGGTTGTGTGATTTAGGGACTGTTTTGTTTTATACCATACTTATGCTTGCGTGTGTGGCAGGAGATGGGCGCAGCCCTACTCATCTGGGTGTCACGCGCTTGCTGAGCATCTTGGGTGCCAGCCCATCTGCCTTTTTCCAAACCGAGCATGTGGCTCCATGTCTCCTAGCTCTGTTTATGCTGTTCCTTCTGCCTGAATTTCCTTCCCCTTCTTTCATCCCCTGGCAAATGTATTCTTCAAGCAGATTGGAAAACTTTACCCAAATACTCTGGTAACTCTTCTCCAAACCTGATTTTAAGACACACACATTATCTTACTGATCCTAATTTCCCTCAAGAATAAACCAATGAATTGTTTTGAGTAGGTTCAGACTCATGGTGATCTCATGCATTGCAGAGTAGAACGGTGTTCTGTAGGGTTTTCGTGGCTGTGACCATTTAGAAGCCAAATGCCAGGCTTTTTTTCATCCTTTCAGTTAGCAGCCTAGGGCTAAATGGAAAGGCTGTGTGCACCTCCTTCCTCCATTAAATAGTGGCTTCTTGAAGGCAGGGATCATGTGTTTATTTCATTGTTCCCAGTGTTTGAGACCAGACAAGGTGTACAACACATGTGATATTATTCCCCACAGATGTAGCAATGTTGTTGTTGTTGTTGTTGTTAGGTACCATTGAGTCGGTACCTACTCATAGCGACCCTATGTATAACAGAACAAAACACTGCCCGATTCTGGGCCAACCTCACAATTGTTGCCACGCTGAGCCCATTGATGCTGCCACTTTGCCAGTCTTGCTGGGGGTCTTCCTCTTTTTCTCTGACCCTAAATAATGATAGTTGTTGTTGTTGTTGTTAAGTACTGCTGAGTCAGTTCTGACTCATAGCTACCCTGTATATGGTTTCTGAGGAGAAGCTGATGAGCTTGAACCACCGACCTTGCAGTTCAAATGGTTTTGAAGTCGGGTGCGTTAACCCTCAGCGCCACAGCTTACTCTACTGTGTACTCAGTCGTGTCCTAAGTACTTTGAATCCTCACAACTCTATAGGGTCATATTGTTAGCCCCATTTGACAGGTGAAAAAACTGAGGCTTCGTAACTCAAAAACCACACAGTAAGTGGCAATGCCAGTAGAAGGACACCATGCCATATCCATGTCCCATAGAGCTCAGCCTCGCCGCACTGTATGTCATAGGTACTCAGGAAATGTTTTCTGTTTTACAGCCAAAGCTTGCCACCATTCATAACGTGGACCCTGGACAGGGTGGGGTATGGGCATCTATCTATAGTTTCTAAGAACCCACTTTCACACTGCAGGAAACTAATTGTATAGCCTAATGAGTCTGCTTGAGGACTAGGTGCGCCTGACCCAGGCCATGGTATTTTCAATA